AGTTAAGTGGTTAGCAAAGTCTGGCTGTGAAATGGATAGTTCATAGACAGCTCCTGGGCATGGACTAGGAAAGAGCATGTGCCAGCAACCACTCCAGCAGGCACTTTGCATACAGCCACTCTGTTTTAGGGCTAAAACAATTTTAAAACATGGAGGTGGTCAGGCTAGGTCAGTTGGAAATATCCTTACATTGCTTATTTTATTAGTACGAATATAGTTCTAGAGGTTTTGATGCAGGAAGTGTTTATTAATAAATTACTTTGAAAGATATATACATTATAAAATGAACCATCTTTATTAAGGGAAGTTTCTTGACAGTTTTTGTAATTCATCCATACATAAACCAAAAAGTAAGATACATTTATTAAGATAGCTGCTATTTTATACAGTTCTGTGCTCCCCTCTCCTTAAAAATAGAGCGAGGATAATTGAACTGAAAAACCTAAATATTTCCAAAACCCAATTACATAACTTGCCACATTTCCTCTGTTTTCCCCCTCTTACCTGTATTTCAAAGAGGTCAAGGTTATTAAATATAGGCTTCTGCCTTAATACAGTAAGAAAAGCAGGAACTAAATACATAGTAAAGACTTTTCATATAATGTGAATTTGCTTACATAGCCTATAAATACTACATTTACCAATTTGGATATGAAATTGATACTTTGATGTAAACAGTGTCTGCAATTCTTGTAGGTGAGATAATGGTGCATTAAAATTCTTCTTTTTTCTCCCTAGTTTATGTGTACCTACAGTGTCCAAAGCTGCGATCGTTTTCTGGATAATTTATTTTCCTGAGTGGGTGTGTCATCCATGTAAAGACTGCAGTTTGATGACCCAGGTTTGTTAATGTTGCTCTAACATAAGGTTTTGCACAGCATGATGTAAAATTACAGCTCTGGTACCCTTGCTCTCAAAACACATGCACACTTGGGAAGCCATGAGAAGGGTTACTTTAACAATTCTGGTCTTACATATGAATTTATAACTTTCAGTAGTGTGTGGACTTACACAGCGTGGCACTATACATCAGATGCATGCTGACTCAGAAAATTAATGCTGCATTCTGGCAACCATATGGGCAGCTGGCAAGTGGCCAGGAGACCAGCAGAGCATGACCCTACCTTCATGCAAACCTTCCCTATGCAAGAGAAGTGTTTGCATGGACTGCACTAGCCAAGGAGCAGAAATAAAGGGATCCTGTACATGGTTGTTGCTCATAACCATCAGATCCCACAGGGACCGACTTATGCCAATGTGATTAATGAGAGGAGCTGCACAGACAGCAGACAGACCCTTGTGGCAGGCAATCACATGGGCACTGGTGACTTTGTGACATCCAGGGAATCAAAGGATTGTAAAGGCTTCCTTATATATCTATGTTTCTTCTTTATGGTTCTCTCTTCTAGTTGGTGCTCTCACCTGTGACAAAATTTTGCTTGCAAGCTCTACTGGGAAGGGCATTTATCTTATTTGTTCCGTAAAATGCATATTTATACATTGAGTGCTGAACAAACAATCAGAATAATGGCTTACAGTAGCTTAGTTATCTTCAGCGCCTTGAAAAAGAACACTTCAGCAAGAAAAGAAATTAAAAAAAAATTACCATCACTTGCAAGGAAAGCAGTTTTTATTTCCTGTTATTTTGCTTCACTTACCCTATTATTTCTTATCAAGTGTGTGATCTTCTAAAGACTTAAATCTAACTCTGCCACCAGCTTTAGTGGGAATACCTGCAGGTATGATAGCCTGAATTGGAAACTCCTCAAATAGGATTGTCTTCTCACTGTGTAAATGATAAAAATCTAACAAAGAATAGAGATGAGAATTTAATGGTTTCAAGTAACTTTATGCATTACCTTAAATGGAAGATGCCTTGAGGATAGTCAAACACACAGTCCTGTTTATAATGTATTTTATACATATAATGCTTTCCCTTCATAAATATCTTTAATTTTTTTTACAACTTCTCACAGGAATCATGTCCCTCTCCAGGCTTTACAGCAGCTGTTTTACTTCCATTGCAATGGCGTATAAAAAAATAGGGATTGTAAGTGAAACAGCACACATTTTCCACTGTAAACTAGCTGGTACACTGCAATTTCATGCTTTAGTTCCCTGCACACTTGCTTTTCCAAGGAAATCAGGGTTTATGTTCTATCTTCGACAATACAGTCTCTGTATGCTGGTCCTGCCGGTTCACTCAGACATCTAAATTTTTGTCTACGCTGGTATTTTTCTTAAATCCTGATTCTGTACTAAAGATTCTGTCATTTGACTTTTGATAGTAACAACTTGTTCAGCAGGTACAAGCAGGCCAGGTTTCTTTCACCGCTGCTTCAGCACTGACCAGCTCATGGCAGAACTAATCAGCAGCATAGTTGCTGCTGGTATCTGACCATCAGTAGTATTTCCATTGCTGCTGCTACACAGAAATACATTGTAGTCACTTGGGATTTCTGAGAAGTGACATCTAAACATTATTAGCCGCTCCAATTCTGCTCTGCTTGAGGGATTTGTTTGTATCCAGGCTGGAGTCTAGCTATAGTTTAGAAACGCTGACTAGACACAGTTAAAATAGAAATAAATTCTCAGCTGATTATATACACTGTGTGGGTCCAGCACAGTGATAATTTCATTCCTGGTGCTTCCTGGCATTTGAAAACCCAGGCATGCCAGCAACGCTGAATCAATTACTTTCAGTAGCCAGAGTTCCCAGAACAACCACCTCTTTTTCCCAGGAAAACCAATTTTATCTATGTAGCTTGTAACAGCAAAATGTTGATCTATGCACACTCTGTACCTAAGTCTCCTTTCTAATCCTGAAGCAATGCAGCCACTGTTTCTCACCCTGTGAATTGAACCAACTCATTTCACCAATACGCAGACAGAACCCAGCATACAAACCAGCACAACATTCTGCAAATGTCATCTGTGACAGAGCACGCAGATATCTGCCTGGGGTAGTGAGCTATCACATCACAGATTTTACATGGTTTCTGGCAGGCATTGCAAAACATCCCATGCTATCTGGTAGCACACTTTGGATTTGGAAAAAAAAAATCAGCCTCCTTCTTTTATGTAAGAAGAGTTGTGTTTGATTTTTTCCTTTTCTCTACACTTTACATCTAAAAGGAATACAGTATAGCTTTAGTATGATGGCAGTACAAGAACTTGAGGCTTTGTGTGTCCCTCGCTAGGTTCTCCTGGGGCTCTCAGACAGGCTTTCAACACCTCCCTAACTCTGGGACCCGAGAAATAGAATTCCTTCCATCCTTGGAACTGGAAAGCCTGAATATGGCACAGTTACATATGTAGGGCAAAAGTATAACTGACCTTCACCTGTAAAACCAGAACTTCTGGTAGTTATACAGGTGCTGTACTACTGGATAAAAACAATAATTTAATTGCTTAATGTAGACAAGGCCTCTGAGGAATCTCCTTCTTTAAATAACCCAACCAAATCAAAACTTCATCAGCACAACTCACTCCTCTGAACTCCCTCAGCAAAGAGGAACTTGAAATACTTTGCCAGGTGTGCTAAAAGGAAATAGTATTTCCCCCTTTTTAACCATCTGAAGAAACCAAAAAAGACACACACTCGGACAACGGAGTTCAAATAGGATTGTTCAAGTGCTAAGTTTCAGAGGATGCCAAATGCACTACAAATGTGACCGCTGAACTATCAGGATGCATTACTTCTGCGGGTTAAGAAACAAAGCCAAACTCCCAGAGCTGGACTGAATTCCAACGTCTACACAATGGGCGATGCCTCCTAGGGCCAACTGACACGTTTTGTGAGAAACCACAGAAAAATGACGTGTCTAAAATCCATTAAAACGTATCTGATGCTTTAACTTCTTATCAGGTTCATCTCAAGCTGTGGAAATTTCTGTCACTACAGCCTTTTTAGACAATTCCTTGCACGCGGCGCTCCCAAAGCATTCCATAACCATTATCAAACGCAGCAGCGACCAGGGCAGTAGGGGAGCGTGGCTCCCGTGGCTGTGCCGGGAGGAGCCGAGGCACCGCGGCGACCCGGGGGCCGCAGGGCGAGGGGGCGGCCTTGACCGGGAGCCACCCGTGCCATGCCCTGACCTCCGCCCGCGGGCAGGGAGGGCTGGGCAGCGGCCACATTCCCGCCCGCCTTGGAGCGGGGAAGCCACGGCGGGGCCGCGCCGGGATCCACCCGCAGGGTCTTTGTTCCCGCGGCCGCGGCGGCTCTTTGTTGGTGCCAAAGCCCGACCGCGGGCCCCGCGCTGAGGCGGCACCCGGGGCTCCCTCCGCTTCTCCATCGGGGCCTCCTGCCGGCATCGCGCTCCCCGCCGGGCCGCTCTGCCACCGCCGCCGGCCGCCGTGCGGGGACTCCCGCTGCACCTGGCCGCGCCCCGCCCCGCCCCGGCCACCGCCGGGCCCCGGCCGCTTCCCCACGCCGGCGAGATTGGGAGAGGACACGGAAAGGCGGGACACGGAGGGCACTCTCCGGAGGCGCGCGCCGGCGGGAGGCGACGGCCGCCGGGAGCGCGCGCAGGCGCGCACACGCAAGGGAAGGGGAGGAGGAGGGCGGGCGGCCGGGCGGGGGCGCGCACGGCCGGTGTGTGAGGGAGAGAGCGAGGGGAGGGCGATCCCGGGGCGGAGAAAGGCGGCGGCAGCGGCGGCTTCGCTCGGCTCAGGGCAGGCGAGCGGCCACAGGCGCTGCCGAGCCGGGAGATACGGCGGCCGCTGCCGACTCGGGGCATCCTTCCTCTTCCTCCCCGCCCCCTGCCCGCCCTTCCCCCTTCTCTTTCTCTCCTTCCCCACTGTCCGCTGGGGCTGATCGCAGTCGGCGGCACAATCCCGGGGCGTTTCCGCGGCGCCCAAGCCGGCAGCGGCCGCGGGGAGAGCCGGTCCTTCCCCTCCCCGGCCGGGACTGAGAGACTCCCCGCTCCGTCCGGGGCTCGGCTGAGAGGGCCTGGCCCCGGCCCCGGCTCGGCTCCCCGGCGGCGGCGGGCTCGGCGAGGATGTCGGGCGGCGGCGGCGGCAGCCGAGAGGAGGAGCGGCGCAAACTCGCCGACATCATCAACCACTGGAACGCGAACCGGCTGGACCTGTTCGAGATCAGCGACCCCACCGAGGTGAGCGACCCCGGCGAGGGCCTCCCGCCCGGCCGGCCCGGTGAGACGCCGCGCCCGGGCCAGGCCGCGCCCCGCGGCAGCCGGGCCCCCGCGCCGCCCCCCGCCCCGGCTGGACGCTCGGGCACGGGCTGCCCTGCGCTGGCCTTGGCCAGGGCTCTGCTCCTCGGTGGGGAGCGAGGGTCGGGCCCCTCGCCGTGCCCGGGTGAAGGCAGGTTGCAGCAGCCGGGGAGAGGACGGGAGCGAAGGGCCGGAGCCCTCCCCTCCTCCCTCGCTTGCCTCCCGCAGGCACATGCTGGCCTGACCCTGCGGGACAGGCGGCTCCGAGGCAGGGGAGAAACCCGCTGGGGAGATGGAGGTGGCGAAAAAGGGCGGGCAAGGGCTGCCCCCAGGAGCTGCCCCCGTCCTGAGCCCGACACCGGGTACCTCCGTGGGCTTTTTTTTTTTTTTTTTTGTCTGTCTGTGACTTTAACAGTACCGACAGGCGGCTGGTGGAGGAGGATTGAGAATCCTGGTGCCGGGCGCTTTTTTTGTTTCTAGCTTTTTTGTTTCTTTAAATATTCGTCTTTGTGCAGAAGGCGCCTCTTACAAAGCAACCTGCCGCTCACAGTCCGGCGGCTCTCTGGGCTGCTGGTGCAATCCCTGGAGTGGCTTTCCCAGGGCGTGACGGACGGAGCGCCTTGGCTCTCCGAGCCTGCAGGCTGCCAGCCCGCCGCCTAAAGTAAATACTAGGAGCAGGTTCGTAGACCCGAGTTCACATGTTGTACTGGAAAAACACAGCGGGTAATTTCTGCCTAATGAAGTGGGTGTTTCTGATGGCCGAAAGAGGCTGGGTTTTGTCCTTTTTTTAAAAAAAGAAAAAATGTAATAGTAAAACCACACCCTCCCGCTGCCCCTTGTCATGCTCCCTTTGGCTGGTTCGTGCTGCGCGTCTGGTTTGAAAGCGGCGGGGGGTGTAGGGGGAGGGCTGGGGACGCAGGTTACAGCCCTGTTTGTGTGTGACAGCGGGCTCCCTGCTTAGAGGGTGGAGGCTGATCATGTGCGTGTTCCCGGGGAAAAGGAGGAAATTCACACTTGCTCTTGGCCTGGCCCTGGTTGTTTATTAACAGAGGCCTCTGAGAAATCGCGTTGGCTTGGTCTTGGAGCTGGCTCCTGTTTCTGCACCTAGGTGCTGACTGCTAGCAGAGCCACAAAAAAGTGTTGAGAGCACTTCTAAGATTAGGAACTACGACACCTTCGGGTATTTTCAGTTCTGCTCGTTGCAGACAGTTTCTTGAACAGAAAGATGAGGGGTTTATGTGTTATTCCCTATATCTTGCAAGATTTAACGTAGTTAGAGTTCCTTGATTGCATTGCTTAGGTTTTAACAGTATCATTGTTGACTGACAGTCATTGTCTCAAAAAAAGTGGGCTGAAGCCAGTGTCAGGAAGCCTTCATGATTGTGTTTGAGAACGTAGCGCTGTCTTTGGAATTGCAGGTTGACTGCTGCCTGCCTGTGTCTGAACTTCTTGTTAATGTGTTTGTCAATTCCCAGTACATTCTAACTCCAGCCTGTTGTCTTCGTGCTTATGGCAGACTGTGCTTCTGTGGTTTTGTTAGTAAGTAGTTTAACAAATCATACTTTCTTTAGGTCGACCATGCATATTTATTAGCATAGTTAACTGGAGTTTGCACAAAAGTCAGCAGCTTCATTATAGTTATTATTGAAAGAAAAAATAATTTTACTTGCATTCACTTCACACTTCTGCAGTTAAACCTCTGGAGCTGTATAGGAGCACACTCAACCACTGTCAGTGATGACATTTCAATTGAACTACTGAAAGTAAAAGATGAAGTGCATGCATAATAGCCTTGAATGCTTGAGCTCTTTAGCCTGCTGGTGCTAAAAGAGTTTGATAAGACTGCAGGTGCATTTACATCAAACTGGCAGCAGGTAACAATTTTACAGATAAAGTATATTTTCCTTCCAGATAATTACACTTACGAATGTTCACATTTATTTTCACTCTTACCCTGAGCTGACACAAATTTGGCAATATTTTCAACCCAGATGATGGTGTGATTCACACTGTACTATTTATCCACTTAAATGAAAGCCCTCTTACTAGACTGCTTGAGAACTGACAATCCTCTGTTTTTCCCCTGTTTTTCCAGGCACAGCTTGACCATAAGGCACATCTTGCTTTTTGTAGAGATTGTAGCAACTGTGGTATCTTTGAAGCTGCAGTAATCTGGATATGACTTTTGCCTGTGAGCGCCTGAGCTGGGTCAAACTGAATCATTTTAAACTGTCGAGACATAGTTGTTGTCCTACTGGGTTAACTTTGTAGCCCAAACTGCAGACTGTCATCCAGGAGCTGCTGGTTGGATGTAGAGCTGATGCCTTGTAGTGATTCTTCAGGCATTTCCTCAGTGAAAATAACCTGGTTTAAGTGACTTGTCTTGTAGCTTTCCTATGTAAGAGAGTAGGATTTTCCAGAGGGGATAATCACAGCCTTAATAGCGGGGTTCAGAGAGATTTAGGTTTTCGGTAAAGCAAAGGAAAAGGGAAATGTTAATTGGCTGGAATTCTGACAGTATTGATTATGCAGTGACATTGAAAAGAATTCGCATATACCTTGGTATTAGTTTGAAAGGTCTAATTCTTTGGTGAGATACAGTTGTTCCAACTGCATTAGATCCTCTTTGCTTTACTGCACCATGTAAAATGTGACTTTGTTTTGAAAGTTGGGCGGTATTTTGAAAGTAGTTCAAATGTCTGGCGTTTTTTTCAGAGAAGTGGTTCGTGAAATTAATCTGTTTGAATTCCTGTTAATATTTTATTGAGTAGACTAGTCCTAAGGGATTAGAGATACACTCGCCTCTTGTGAGACTTATGGAACAAATTGTTAAGGCATGTAAGACATTGAAAAGCAAAAGCCTTGGATAGGGCATGTTGAGTTGTTATGAACTTTTTCTTAACTTCTGTTTGAGTCTAATAGTTAACTAAGTCATTAGAGCTGCTTTACCCCGGCAATACAGAAATGAAAACTTTCTGTTGCGTGCTCAAAGTTGAGTATTCCTCTCTCTGTATCACGTGTTAGGAAAGCTGAAGATTTCTTGGGAGTAAGGGTTTCCTATCTTCACTTGCTTTGTGGACTCATGCTTGAGAGCAAAGTAGTAATTTAAATTTTATTACATGTTTACCTATTTGAACCATTGTTGCTGTTCTGAGAAATCTGTTAGTTTGCATTATTTTACTCTGAAATTTTAAAATTCTTTTTATTCAGAAAATAGCTCAGAGAAGCTCTGTGGCTTGAGAAGCTTATAAATTAACAAAACCAAAACTCTGCTTTTACTAGCAGAAGTTTAAATGATAATGTTTCAGGAGTGCTGCTAGGTACGGACCTTTGCCGAAGATGCCTGTAATACCGGTAATAATTTAAACTTAATTAAGCTTTACTGTGTCTACTTTAACTTATGAGGCAAGTCTGGAAAAAGTACTGGACTTTTTGAGGGAAGATGGGGTGAATCATGTTTTTGTTTGTAGATAAGTTAACAGATTCAAAATGAAGCAGAATGTTAACCCTTTTCTTCAGTTGTTTTCTCTTGTACAAAGTATTACCAGGTTTTGTGGATGCTTTTTCTGTTTTTCTGGGGTTTTTTTAATTTTTTTTCAGTCAGGCATGGAAACTTAGTGAAAAGACTTAGACCTTTTGCAGTAGGAGATAAAATGATGTTTTGATGTTGATTTAAGTCTTGGGTGCTTACAGCACCCAAAGTTTTCAAAAAGGAATAAGTTTGAATAAATGATTTTGTAATAAGTGCATAGAGTTGTTTGGAAACTTGTAGATAGGAAATTATTTGCATTTATATAGTTTAGCTTTTTTAACCTCCTTTAATAAAAGTGCTAGCTGGAGTTGATTATTATATAAAACAACTGCACATGGATGTTTTGGGTGAGGAGTGGAGGTCTGCTGTAGGCTATGCATTTATCACTCTTTGAATGCACCTAATAAGATGCCATGTCTGAATTAGGTATTGGTTTCATCTTTAATGTGTGCTTTCATAGCTGTATATGAGAGGAAGAGAAGTGTTGTGTTTTTTCTAAACGTGGTTTGTGGGCTAGGAATGTGAATTGTATTTAATTATTTTGAGACAGACACTTTCTAGAATAAGTGGGATTTTTTTATAACAATTGCCCAAGGGCTGGGGGATTGTTGTCAGAAACATTGATCTGTTGTAGTTTTGTTTTCTGATGGAGAATGTTGTTCTCGACTAATATACTTCTGTGTTAGTAAAAGTAGAAGGGTCTATTCAAAAAGCTCAGAGAAATAACATGCTTTGCATTAAAGAATAACTCCTGAGAGTTTGACTTTTAAATGGCCATCATTAAAAAAAAAAGGAGTTTCAAAAGTATTTATGGCTATTTGATTATTTTTTTGTCTGAAAAAATTGAGATAGTTTTAGCAACAAGGTATTAGAAATAACCCTTCAGAATGTGGGTTTTTGTTTTTGCTTTTTTTAAAATATTGACTTCTCATGTGTTGTGTTATATATGTTTAGTCTATTCAGTATGTTTTATATTGTTTTCTTTGGCTTTAAATACAAGTAAGGAGTCTATTAACAGAAAATGTTGCACAATACACTGTACGGCGGGTTATTTTAGGGCTGGTAGAATTTTTGTCTTCACTTTTTGGGTTCAGATCTGATTGTGATTCATTAAGTGTCACTGGTCTATGACATAAGCTTATACCTTTTTAATGGTAGTTATGCAAGCTTGTTATTTAAATCTAGTTAAAGCAATAAGAAATGGGAATTCTTTAGGTTTTAACCCCCTGCTCTTTATCTGCATGGTCGCTCACCCATAAAAAGATCTCACCCTTTTAAAAATCCAGCTCTGAGGCTTTTTTAAAGACCTGTTTTTAAAATTGGTAAGTGATTGTGTTGTGGGTGATACTAATAGTGGAAATTCAAGTCTGGAGCTAAGGAAACACCATCTAAATGGCAGAAATGCGCCACC